GAACGTCGACGAGCAGCACTCGAGCTGCAGTCGAGCTGCAGTCGAAGAGAAATTAGCATACGAGATCGCCAAATACGGCGAGAGCTTCGTTCACCTGCGTTAGATCGCCGACAAACGCAATGAATATGTTAATTTTCATCATTTATCCGTTCAGCGGATAGGCGCAAACCTTGTCGCACATGAGACAGTCCTTCAGAGCAGATGCTTTTTCCATTACTTATCTGTTTATTGTTAACAACATTTTTCTATATAATTTGACACTCCTGCATTACTTTATCTTATTTTTCTACAAAGCTTAAATAAATATTTAATATATCTTACATATAAAATTCAACAATCTGATAAAACCTTTTAGGCCATTAGAAGTAAAAGTGAGTGATGGAAAATAAATATAATTTTTGTACACAATCAAATGTCTAGATTGATAACGATTCAATCCTTGTCTAATATTGAAACCTAAACGATAAAATCTCACCGTTAAGAAACACACGTACTCGTGTGAATATACCACCGGTGAAGATGCATGAGTGTGTAGTAATGCACCAGGCTGTACGTGTTGATGCAACGTGCTCGTCGCGTTATCGCCGCGTCTATGAGTCGTACGTGCCATTATAAGTTTCATTAGAAGAAGTGCATTTCCTTTTCCGAGATTCGCTGACAAGGTCGTCCATACGTTTATCCACGTGAAGGACTTATATTCATCAGGTGAGACTTTGTTGCTCGTAATATCTATGTTCCTGTTAATTTCAGAATCAGTCCTGTATACCTTCGATAAGTCGTCCAAGTTTGCATTGACTCATTCTCTTTAGTTGCTGTCCACACCCACGGAATTCCTTTGAAATATTTCGACAGGAACTCTAATGGGTAAGCGATAAGAAAAAAAAGCGGCAGAAAAATACATATAATAGATTGTGTGTGTGTGTGTGTATGTGTATGTAAGCATATGTGAGTAGGAAGAAGCGTGAAAAGTCGAGAATAGGCACGTGACCAAACAAGCAAAGCAGTACAGGAGACAAGCAAGGAGAGAAAAGAACGAACCCTTCCACCTGAATGTTTAAAGAAAAAAGGTACTAGAAAGTCGGTCGCGTGTCGCGACAACGACGCTGATTCGTTGTCGTTGGTGTACCTTCTCCTTCGACCTGTGCGCTACTCGTTTCGTTATGTTCCTTCGAAAAGGTACGAAGGATCATCTTCTACCTGAATGGGTTAAAAAAGAACGGAGAAACAAGGAGAACGAAAAAGGTGAGATGAAGGGGGAAAGCCACGTGACCCTTCCTCTCTTTCTCTTTCACTCTGTCTATCCTTTTCTTTATTTTTCTCTCTTGTGCTACCTTCTACCTTCCCGGTGGATTCCTTCTGGCCCAACCTGACCTATCCAAAGGTGAGATTTATCCGGTATTACCTGCCACCACCCATACGCATATCGTATCTTCTTCATTGTTACCAAACTTCTTTTATTCTTCTATTCAACAGTTCTATTGATTTTATTTGTCTTTGATAATTTACATATTTTACTCCATACAGAGTAATGAATTCAAATTCGTCAATAATTATTTGGAATTGATCATTTACATTTATTTAAACATATCATTGTTTTTTTTGTAGATAATATTGAAGATCATTAGGATGCTGGTTAATAAACTTTAATTTGAAATATCGGTAAATTATTTGATAGTCCTCGAGTTTCCTGTTTGTCACGTGCTCGAAGATTCTTAAAAAAGATGCGCGTGTAGGTCTGAAAATAATAGATGGGAACTCGCTGAACTAGCCCGAAGCAGTTCGAAAGAGCAGGATACGCGTGGACCTTAATTCGAAAGTCGAGTAGGCTATAATCGGAAACCTGCTCGCACAATGCAAATACGGAGGCATTATATGCTCGTCGTGATGTAACAGCAATTTGGACCCTCACTTCCGGTTAGTTCGAGGACTTGAATTTTCATTAAAATCATATTACTGTGACTTAAGACGTTTCACTCATACCAATATACATATACCCATACATGTTCATGCTATTGACGATGATTTCCAACGAAAGAAAGCGTAAGATCAAATTGAAATATCTATTAGATAAAAAGATTTACATATTCACGCTTTCTATGACATGTGAATTCGAATTTATAAATGTCCGAAGATTGCGACAGAGAACTTTATTTCTCGTAAAAGTCGACCAGTTTTTACATAGCAACATAATTGATTTCTCTTTCCACGTCAGTCTTTTATCGTTTCATGCGATAATCGCTTCGTCGAAGTTAGTTTCTTCATAATTATCCTGTAACCAAGAGTTTAACGTACGATGCAAAGAAGGATCGAGTTTTTTTTTTTTTTTTTTAAATACTCTTCCGGCAATAGTTATTTTGATCGATACAATGTACTATAAAATATCATTGTTAAACTAAAAAAAATAATTTCAAGTAGAACATTTTACATAAATTCTTATTTCTTCACGTGACAATGTATACGTAAAATTCGAAATCGTATGTCCACGCTTTCTCCTTTATTTGAAGAAACGGTTAATTTCACCATCTATGTGTCAGATTATCCAAATTAGGTTGTGGGATCATTCATACTTATTCTCTTTTTACACGTGAGAAAAGTATTTACCTACGTACTTGTGTAGAAGACGTTAGCCAGATTTCTTATCCGTATATGTTATCTACTCCCATTTGGTTCCTCAAAAGAGTTGACATTATCGCTCAGTAAAGGTAAAAATATTCCAATTTTGTGATTACGATAAGCCACAAATCTGTTGCATATACGAAAAGGTTTATAACTGAAAAAATTCCGTTTCAATTGAATTTAATTTATGGCAGATATCAATGTGACAATAATCTAAATTGTCAAAATTAGAAATTAGATTATATATAGAAAGAGAAATGGAATGGGTATACAAAAGTTTAAGATAAGTGATAATCGGTAGCAAGAGACAACGAAGGGTGGTCCAGATTACCATGAAGTACGTTCACGAATTGGAAGGCCATCTAATTTTCCGCACGCAAATACTTTCGACGACGGTAGAGAGAAATGAAGATCATCTTCACGTTTCTCTCTTTCCTTTATAATCTTTATTTTTTGGGAAACACTAATGAAGGCCTGAGGCGTTGCTTACTAGAAGCGATCATAAGTGATTATTATATATTATATTTCTTAGGCGTCGATTTGTTTTTGGAAGATTTACTGTCTTCGATAAAAAAGAAAAAAGAAAAAAATTGTTCAAAAATTCGATTCGTAAGATAGCAAAAGTGATTGTTAGTTAGAATACAGAATATATATATGTGTATGTTCGAGAATCGAATCTAATTATACGATAAATATTGTTGTATCCTTCTACATCAACCTGTAAATAATATAGGTTGAAAGGGGAGTATCGCGTTACACGGTAATGGAAGGAAAGTCAGGTTCGCGTGAACGCGATGATCCTACGTACGTGCGAAATACACCGTCCCTCGTCGTCACGAGTAATTTCCTCTTCTTCTCGATCGTATTAGGGTTTTTTATTTTTGAAAAAACTATGAGTCAATTCGATATAGGAACTTATAAAACTTCTAGAACCAAAGGATGTCTTTATTGTAGCAAGCTGCGTAATTTCTATATGATTTTGAATTATCAGAAGAATTTTGTGCTTCACGATATACAATCCGTCATTATATAATTATTTATTATTGATAAATTTTCTGTTCACTGATAATACCACATTGTGCGACATTGTTGCCTTGTCTTAGCACTGTATCTCTATAAAAGTCGATTTTTTTCATAATATCTCGTTAAGATAGGATCGATACTTGTAATCCATTAATTGCATTTGTATTTATATGAGACGAGGTAAGTAATTGAACGTGACATTTTTCGCACGGGGATCGTTAAGAAATTGACTCGTTCAAAGCGATATTAATGCCAAGATAAAAATGGGTGGAGTAAGGTTTATAAGAACTAGATTTTTTTTGGGGGTTTTTTTTCTCGAAATCTTTTTAAACTAGAATACGTTGTATCATCGGTTGCTCATCAAAAATAATCATGCCAATACGCACTTACGTAGTTATATTTATTCAAAGAAACCTCGAAGCTGAAACGTTATCGATAGATACGATATCGAGTGATTTTTTTATTTCTAGACTATTCTATATCGCTCACGTTCGCTTTGCTTCGCGGTTTAGTTAGCATCGATACAATTACGTAGGCGCAATTGCATTGGTCGAGCCGATAAATCTCGACGATACGCGCGAATCATCGAATATCTTTCAAGAAACTATCTATATTTGTTAGCTCGTATTGATAAGATATTTTCTTCCTTAGAATTTCTTTTCATTTGAATTATTATCCACCAAAGTGGATTTTCGCAATTTTAATTTCATATTAACGTTTATAATTATTCGTTTAAAATATCTCCATACACTTTATTGATCCGAGATGAGAATAAAATTGGAAAAACGATTCATTTGAATCGCGATCGTCTATTTTTCAGATAGGCGGCATATCGCGTTCGATTAATCTATGAGAGTATGTATAAAATGTGCTAATGATGAGGACATAAAGGAGGAGTGTTATCTGAAACCGGTAAAACCAAACAGTAATCACGTATTCCTAAAGAGTTATTAATAAATTCAAGCTGGGCTACTATTTTTGATTAATAGCGTTGAAAGACATCGCTAAATCTCATCTATAGATCATAACGGAATGACTTTACATTAGTTCGATGAAAATTATACTACATACATATATACTTTAGACGTTAACGCGAATATTATCGTCCAACTTCGATCGACCGTGTGACTCATTCGTTAATACGCTTTGAAAGATCACGAACGCGCTAGTGATAATTCCAGGTATCAGGGCGATTAGTATCAGAGATAACCATTAATCGTGTCTCATTTATCGAAATCTAATAAGCGATTATACACGACTATGTATAAATTTATGAGCCCAATTATATGCGCGTTCAACGTGTCGATGATCCAAAGAAACGTTATTTCAAAGAATTAGGATCTAAGGATTATAAAACTCACCATTTTCGATATCTCTTAGGGGTCCTGACGGACTACCCCCAGTGGATACACCCTCGTCCTCGCTACTACTGGTACTAGCCTCGCTGGGGCTGTAACTTCGTCTACTACCAGATACCCTGATCTTTTGTGCGCTGACTGTACCGTTGTTGTTGTCAGTAATCCTATTCTGTAGTCTCTCGTGCATAATCCTAACTCGCGATTGTAGCCTGTGTTGTTGAAGAGTTCCGACGGAAAAATCGAGAGGTTGATCTATCTCAGAATGAATTTGATGCCTTTGCACCTGTTCGCAAATTGCACCAGCAACGAGAGCTTGCGCTTGACTGATTCGGGCAATCGGTACTACATGCTGTTGCTGTTGTTGTTGTTGTTGTTGTTGTTGCGATTGCTGTTGCTCCTGAAGTACTGCACTAGGCGTGCTCCACCATTGATGACTACCCTGAATCGATCTCCAAGCTTCTATGGTATTGTTGTTCGTTGGACTGGTCTGTTTTTGTTTTTGTTGTTGTTGCATTTGCTGGTGGGACTGCTGTTGTTGCTGTGACATCGCAACCTCCACTAAATTGTTGTTTTCCAACAAATGCATGCTGGGGGTATGGGTCATCGAGGTTGATAAAACGAAAGGGGTAGGTCCCACTAAAGGTGGGCTAGCTTCCTGCCGTTGTCGATGACTGTGATGCTGCTGTTGCCGTTGTTGTTGTTGTTGTGATTGCTGTTGTTGTTGTGATTGTTGTTGTTGTTGTTGTTGTTGTGGTTGCTGTTGTTGTTGTTGTTGTTGTTGTTGTGGTTGTTGTTGTTGTTGCTGCTGCTGCTGGGGTGACGGTGGAGGCGGTTGAGCAGTTGGTTGTATCAAGACCGGAGGTGGAATTTGGCGAATCCGCGCGGCCTCCGCGACCCAGCGGCGCACCGCCTCGCTGTCGAGACCCGCCAGCCCTGCGAAATTTACTTTCGACTGGCCGCCGGGCGATGATAAACCCTTCTCGGGTATCAAGCCGGGTAGCGCGAGAAGCCCAGTGCCCGCCACCGCGACCCTGGGTCCCGATACGCCCCCGTAAGCAGACAACGCCGCGAGATCCAACGTGACCGGCTCTTCTATCGACTATTTTTAATTGATCACTCGAAATTCTTCTTGACGAGATAATAGCATCGAGTGAGATGATACATAAAAAGCACACCACTGACAGCTCGTAAACGCTGCGCCACTCAAAGAGCGTCACTCTCGTGAAGCACTGTCTTACACGACCTCTCGTCCACCTTATCAAGAGACAACACGAAACACCCGCGAAGTTTGCCAACCAACAGACGACACTGTTCAATCCGTAAGAGCGTCACTCGGTCTCGGAGATAGCGATAACGGCTGTCATTGCAGAAACGAATTCACAAACTACACGTGTTTGAGAACGGAACAACTGTAAGTAAGGTTTCGCTTCGAACTCTAAGGTAGGTTAACAGGAGGGTGAGGGTGAAGGTGACTACGCGAGGAGATGACGCGACGACGTCGGCGGCGGCAGCAGCAGGTAGGAGAGCAGCTCGGAGGGCTGCGGCTGCGGCTGCGACGGCGGTTAGATGCTGTCGCGTGCATGTGTGCAGCTACACTAGAGGGCCCACGTAGGTCCGGCAGGCCGCCTACCGGCCACGGCTGACGCGAAGCGCGTACGCGGACTTGCCGAGGCCGTAATAGTCGGAAGGTGGGGGAGTCTAAGTCGCCGCCGCTGCCGTGCCGTTGCCGTTGCTGTTGCCGTTGCCGTTGCCACCGCCGCCGCCGTTGTAACCGTCGCCACCGCCGCACGCCGCCACCGCCGCCGCACGCCGCCGCCGGCGCACGAGCGAGCGCGAAAAGCTCACGCGTGGGAGAAGGATGGACTGCTTCACGAGTGGACGAATCCAATGGTGGGGATGCTCGATCGTTCAGGTGGGGAATCCTCTCCAATCCAAACGCTGCGTACGGCTCCGCCCGGCGCGACGCTGAGAGCGCGCCTTTTTACCCCGCGTGTGTGCGCCTCCCCCTATCCTCTCCCACACCGTCCCCCTTGACCCCCCGCCCATCAAGAATGACTATTCCACGAATATTTGCATCTAACATATTTTTCTTTGTCGGTCTTCTATACATTACTGAGATAGAGAATGACTATATCTTTATTATTTTCATATATCATAAAAGTTCAAAAAAAGATATTCTATTATAAATTGTTTTAATTTCTTGAATTCCTTTGTGGTAGCGTTAAACAAATTTCAATTGTTAAAAGCGTTCGCCATAGTAGCTTCTGACTCTTATAGGCACATACATCTCTCATCTATCATATTTCCATATCCATCTGGGAAATCTCTTCACCACTCCCAATATTTGAATTTGACATGCGCAATAGTGGTGCAAAAAAATGTGCCTTTAAAGCAGTTCCATTATTGGTCGGTGGGCCTACTACCGTTCTTCCCACTTCTTCCTCCTTCCTCTTATCACGCTATCATATTTCCATACAACTAAAGACGAAGTACCACCACCTCCATCACCACTACCACCAGCAGCACTAACACGGCAAGCATTATTACCTATATTTCGCTCATCGGTAGCTCGAACGGATTTGAATTCAGCATGCGCAGTCCGATGCGCAAAAAGAGCACTTTAAAGAGGCTCTTATTGGTCATAGGAACGTCACCCTCCCCACTCTTCATCGGCGTGTTCTGCGTAGCTAACCTCGCGAACGTTGCACCCTTCCTCTTATCGCGCTACCACCCCTATTCTTCCTCTTTTCGCTCCGCACAGCACAAAAACAGCGGGTAGAGGGGCATCCCCTTCTTTGCTTCCGCCACCCTCGTTCCCCTGCTTTCTCTTTCTTCTCTCTCCTTGCTCGCGACGCGATAGGGCTCGCGCACGAGGGTGGCTGAGAGGGAGATTGAGGAGAAAGACCAAGCGAGCCGGTATTGATTTTAATGACGCCCCCACGACACTAGTCGCGATACCGAATTTACCATATAGGCGCGAATAATATCTACGCCCTTTGATTTCTTCGATTTATTCTATGCCCGGAATGTCATTCAAGATGGTATATCAAAGTAAGGACAAATCCTCACTGTTCAAATCACTTTTTTATCTTTGTTATTTTTTTTTGTATACTTAAATATGTGAGAATCACTGTATCACGAATTAGTTGTATTCATAATAGAAAATAGAGTCACTTGACTTTTATAACCAAAGGGGATCGGTGACCTCACCTGAGGGTTCTGTATAAATTGACTAGATGTATAAGTAAGAAAGTGATAGATAGAAAGGGAACCTAATCTGAATAAAGTAAACCCTTTCTCCCTTGAATATGAACCCTCTTTTTTATTCATCGCGTGCTGGTATTTGCATGACCCCGCTCGTACTATTGCAGGTGCCGGGCTTCCCCTTTTTTCATATTCAATGGGACGAACCTGCGAGCAAGGGGTAACTATATGGAAATGGGTAGGTACCTGCGTGAGCTCTTTGCACGGTACTTTGTGAAGGGTCGACTTCACTCACCAACTCGAGCTCTTTTAGCTAGATACTAATTTTCCACCTGTCTCTTACTCAACAGGTATCAATGTCAATATGTTACCTTGATGGATCGAATAATCTTTACGAATCCTATTATTATCGATAAACTCGTTTAAATTAAAACAACACTTTTTTCCAATATTCAAAATTTCTATAGTAATTACAATATTACTGTAGAAAAAAGTAGCACGAGAAACATTTAATAAATAACATTTATTTGCTTGAACGTAAAACACCAAGCAGTTGCTACCTCTTGACCCCATGACCCTCTCTCGAGCCCCGACGACTTATATCTGTATAGGTATATTCTATACGTACGAATGTTAGCCTAACATTCACCCACCTGCGGCTTCTGACATCTCAAGCAGCGAAACCAAAGAACGTTCCAATCTTTCTTTTCCATTTCGAATTCAAGCTGTTCTCGTACTTCAAATTTTATTTTCTATTTACGATTAATACAATTTTTTTCTAACATTTCCAAAGATGTTGTTTTTTGTTTCTTTTTAAATTGTATTCTGTAGGGAAAAGTAGTCGATGTAATAATCGTACTTCTAGTTACCGTTACGATCAGATTTTGCTTGTTTTCTGCATTTTTTGGGGGAAAGTATGAAAAAAAAGGTTCGTTTTGAACGGCGTAAAACGTTGCTACTTGCCATACGAATTCTTTTTATTGTCAAGACTCCTTGACGGTACCGCACCCTCCAAACGGCAATAAAGACGTCCCATTACGTGCGAAATTAAAGGTTTTGATCCTAACATGTACGAGAGCCAAGGAAAAAATTTCTTTCTTTATCCGTTTCATTTTTTTTTTATCGTTTCTCTTCGATAGATTGAAGATATCTCAAACGTGGCCAGGTGTGGGAATAAAAATTATTTTTTACCCTTCACATACACACAAAGTATTTCTATCTCAGGCTGGATATCGGAAAAAAATCCCAAATTTCGGTAATTCGAGTGGGTGCAACACGTTCAAAGTACAATGGCACGAAAATCGGTACTTCAAGAGAACAAAATATTTATCCTTAAGAGTTTTATCTTTTTTGCTAATTTTTACCGCAATAGTTGGAATTTTTTTTTAAAGAAGAAACTGTTGCTCCATCGTTTTTTTTGTCCTTTTCAAAGAAAAGAAAAGTCTTTCAAGAGATCCTATAATTCAAGATTCTACTTGTATCTTTATGTTTGCTCAAAATTTTTACCATATTTTTGTATGTTTTTCAATTTCTAAGGTCTCTCGACTGATATTAGAAAAGTGTAATATTCTTTAGGAGAAATATTTGGAGAATAGGAAAAATAAAGGACGTTTACCAAGCAACAAAGGAGACGTTTTACTTTTTCCTGTGAATTCTGCTTATATACATTCCCATGGTTTATGACTCTCGAGTTATTTATTGCCTTCTGTTTTCCGAAGCTTTTACTCGGTTTCCTTGTTATTTTCATTCAACATAGTACAGGTAGCGAACGGATCATCTTGCTTATTACTTTGAAAACTTACGATATCATGGAATTCGTCAAAAATGGATTTTACGTTTGGTGAATGAACAAATTAAAATAAAATAAACAAAAAAACAAAACGAATAAGAAACCATATGCATGGAAAGATTCGTAATGTCACTCATGGGTCGGTCGTGGCTTTAGGAAATGAATAAGAGGAAAAATCCAGATGAGTTTGTGGGCGGTTTTTATTTTGAAAAACGATCAATCGATACGGCGCGGGCCCACGAAGAAGTTGGCGTGAAATCGAGAACGCTCTCCCGTCGAAGGCACACCAGGTATATCTCGAAGGCGATTTTTCGGCTCGCGGGAGTAATAATGAGGTTTCAGTTTTGAAACAGCGTGAAGGAACATATAGATATATTGACAGATCAAAGGGAGCCGACTTCTGGCCTCCCCATCGTCTTTCGCAATTTCAAGGTTCCTTTTCGGACACCTCAGGTCGACTTCCATTTTCCGGATGGTTCCTTTCTCATTTTACCCACCCATTCTACTTCCACGAAATTCCAAAGTATCCTTTCCTTACTATTCGATCAAGAAACCATATATATATATATAAAACAAGATTTTAATATTATTTTAAACTTGCATAGGGGGTGTCTTAACTACATACGGGGTGTCTCGTAAATGTAAGTTAGTACTTACTTATATTGTGATGTCAAAGTGAAGTAAATTAGTGTTTAAATATATGCCCAGAAGTATGAAACACCCTCTATAAAAAATAATTCAATTCAACGCAGAAAGAAGTTTTGAATTTAACTGAAGTAAGAAATTTTCGTCTGTTCAGAAAGATCGTTGGCTCGTTCTGCATTTGCGATATCGTGTGCGCGTGACTACGACCGCGTCATGATGCGCACATATTCCTGGCATTAAGCATGTGAGGGAGCGTAACGTATGATTATAAAATAAGCGGTTCCTTTTGTGGTAATTAGCGGATCAAGGCTTGTCTCCAATGAATTCGGGAGAATTACGTTATTACTGCGTATCGTCAAACGAAGTACTTGTGTTCATTAACGAAAGTTCGTTAAAAATTTGAAATATATTCGAGAAATATGTAATATCATCGATTGTTATTAACT